CGCCCTGGAGTGAACGAGGCCGATGGAAGAAACACTGATATTTTTTTCTCGGGGATTAAGAATCAATATCAGTTGATTAAGGATTGAATTGAATGTATATATTTGGGGGATATGGAAGGATTATATTTAAGATGATATCGGATGAACAACTAGGTTTGCGGATTGCAAAATCAGGTATTCATTGGGTTCATGACTGTGGTTTCGTTTGGGTATGAAATCGAAAAATGATCTTGAAATGGCAGATTTGATTATCCGAGCGTATCCCAAAATCCTCCAACCCTTTCCCGCGGAATTTCTAACTGATCAACGGATGGGATTGCAGAAATCCAAGCGGCGGAGGCATCGTTGCTTCGAAGCACGGAATGTATACAAAGGAGCAGCGATGGATGGGTAAAATCACGCAGAACTGGTGGGTTTGCTTGGGGTTGTAAACGATGGTGATCTATGGACAAGCCGGATCGACTGGGCGTCCGGGTGTTTGAACAAGGAAAAAGTCATGACACCCCCATAAACAATGGGATTTTGTGCTACCACTGGCTCCCACTCATTCTTGGGCCCCAAATATCATATTGTTGGTTGGTTTTGTCCCATTGTACCCCGTATTATATCATATCATCGATAAATTATCACGACCTCACAGTCCTCACTGGAATGACGCTTCGGATTGGGGTAACTATCCCAAAATCGCCTGACATTTCAAGTCAGTGAATGAAACAAATCATTTATCCATAGGGGTAACTGTCCTTATTTCAGGTCAGTGAATTTTGTTTGATTTTCCCAGGACGGCGTTGTCACATCACTGGGTAAACCTCCCATGATAACTGGCAGGAGGTGGAGGGATGTGGTGCAGCACAGGTCCGAGAAGATGACCTCCAATTTTGGTGCTGGGAATGGATCAATCCGTGGCTATTTTGATGGCGATTTTCAATGTGGGTGCCATATTTTCAGAGCCCATGTGGGTGTGTCTGAAAATAGTGTACCCCTAAACCCAATGGTTTTGCTGATCATTATCCCTATTAAATGGCTATAATTGGGAATATACCCTATTTTCAGACAAACCCATGTATAGATGTACTCACAGGTTTCGAGTCTTTGAAGACTGTGTCTGAGATACAAAAGCCAGCTGTATTGGTCGAAGTCTCTAGCCGCATTGGTTGCAAAATGGCAGACTCTGCCGTTCCTGAAGGATTTTCATATCGAAAGTGGGAACTTCCCGGTGCTAGATTTGATTGGAGTCTCCCAAAAAAAACAACAGTTGGATGTTGTTCTGGTCACATCTTGCTACGGCTGAAAAGAAAGACCATTTCCCTTTAACCAATCGAAGGTGACGGTGTATTTCCTATTGACTTGAGGCGGCTGATGCTGGCAAAGTCCCTTGGCTCGAGAGTCGTGATGCTTCGCCGAGTTTCCTGCCATGTTGGTATTGTTTCAGCAAGGCACATGATGACCACAACACTACTTGATCAAAACCATCAAAAGCGGCCCGGTCCCTGTCGACCAAGGAAACAGTTGGCCGCAGACTCGGGGTACACCGTGCCCCAGGTGCCCAACATGGGGGTCAAACTCAAAATCGTGAACGGATTCAATGCTATCCACAAGGTCCGTGAACCGAGGGGTACCAAAGCAGTTTATGCTACTCCTGATTTTTGCTCTGATTCATGGGAAACTCTAGGGTAGAATTGCTCAGCCACCACAAGGCCCTCAGGATTCCCCGTTCAGGTGCAGGCGCCACAAACGCAGGATCTGATGGAGCAAAGGTCAGCCTGGAATTTCTGGGTCTTGCCGGGTGTGTCGAAACCCCGTAATTCCCGCATTTTTCACACCAACAGAACTGCTATAGAGATGTTCGTCTTCCCATTCCGCTGGTCTTATTGGTATTGATCCCTTCTTCCATAAGTTCTTTTTTCATACTTTGACACCTGTCAAGCCTCCAACTATTTTCAGTTCATGTTTCATTCGATCTGAAGCAATGAAAAAACGCCCGGAAACCTCCAAGAATTTCTCGAGGTAGTTGACCTGGAAGTGAAGAAATCCATGTTTCCCACTTTTCCATGGGTTTTTCCATTTTTCCATGGTTTTTTTCCGTAATGGGAATCAATCTCCGCAGGCCTCCAGAGCAATCCTGGTCCGTGAGCCTTCCACAGGAGGACGATGAGCTTCAGTTGGCTGATGGTTCTATGGTTGTTAGAGTATGTTGGAGTTACAACAGTTCATTGATGTTCATTGCATCCTCAGAAAAAAATGGTGGTTTAGTGAGTGATATGACAGTGATATTTTTTGGAATTTGGTGATTGAAAGTTCCAGATTTCAATCTGACGCCCTGGCTAGGAGCTCTGGGATGAAAGCATCTTCTACAGGCAGCCCTCTGCATCTCGGCAGGGTGTAGGTCCCCCATTTGTAGGGTGTCAAAGAGGGGGCGTTGAAGGGTGAGGACTGAACCAATGGTGAGGAAGATTTCATCATCTGTTTGATACTGTTTGATATGGAATTTTTCCAGTCTTTTCTCCATGAGATTCAGGCTATGTCACGATTCCATTGGAGGACTTGGCAGTTGGAAAGTCCTTGAAATTGGCACTGAATGAACACATCTGGGCTATCTGGGCCCGGATTTTGCTTGGGAGATTGGAGATCAGTGTGGGACTTTCCTAAGGTCACGGATGTTCAGCAAACGCTGTTTTTTGTTGTTCGTTTTCCTCGTCTATGCCACAAAGTTAAGCGTGATTGTCATGATTCTCATTACATATCCGAATCAACCGTCCCCAAATTGCAGTGCTTAGCATACCCTTTCGCAATCTAATTTGTCAACAATGGAACATCATTAGAATGTCCATTTTTGGATATTTGCTGTGGTTGCTCACACCATGGCATTCGTTGATTTTTTCCTACACGCGCCTAATTTATATGATAGATAGATAAATGAATTAATAGATAAACAGAAACCATACATGATTTTAATATATATACAGTACATACATTTAAACATTTATATGACTTATTGCCACATCCCCAATTTTTGTGGGTCAAATCCCGGTTCACCTTTGATCAAGGTTGATCAAGTGCTTCAAGCGCAACAGAGGTGGTGCCAGCAGTACCAAAAGGAGGCTTTCGTGTGGCGGAGTCATGGTGTTTTTTGCGAAACAAAATGGACAGAATGTGGAGATCAATTGAGCAATGTTTACCCAATTGCCATTTGTTTTCTATGTTTCCCCAAAAACTTGGACTTGGGCCGTCAAAAAATGAAGAAACAGGACCAAAAAGTGCGCTGAAATGGACAGATATATTTTTTTAAATAGGTGATTTTTACAACTACTAAAAGGGAAACACAGATGACAGGACCCAGCCAAAATGCGAATATGGCGACTAGAATCTGCATAGCTAAATGTTTACTTGGAGTATACTTGATAGAAAGTGGTTTATAGCCGCAACTCCGGTTCTTTCGCATCTCAGTGAGCTATGACTAGGGATCAGGAAATTGACTATGGTTGCTATCTTGGATGCACATCTCACTGCAGCGAAACATCAAAAAAATCCGCCAGGCTGAGATAGCTTCACTCTGCTCGAAGCTCAAGTTGGGTAAATCAGCCCTTTCTTTTGTTAATGGGCGACCCTGGAGGAGGTTTTCGTGCTGGGATTCTGTGTGGCATAAGTTTTGGGTCTCTGAAAAGGCTCACATCGCTGTTTATTTAAGCGGCCTTTAGGTGAAATTTTGCTGAAGCAAAGATGATTTCACCGGTCAACTACCTCTCATACCTCTCATACTCCATTTCTTGACTCAAAATGAAAAAGAACTGGGATTCTCACCCATTATATTCCCATATATCATGCTCACATGTAGAACATCCCATGCAAAATGGAAGGTGAACATGCCAAAATGTGGCAAATACCATACAAAATGGAAGGTGAACATGCCCACATGTAGGAAATCCCATGCAAAATGGAAGGTGAACATGCCAAAATGTGGCAAATACCATACAAAATGGAAGGTGAACATGCCCACATGTAGTAAATCCCATGCAAAATGGAAGGTGAACATGCCCAAATGTGGCAAATACCATGCAAAATGACAAATTCAAGTTCCAAACCGTTGCAAACACTAGGCAAATGGTACCAGCCAAGAAATCCAAAAAAAAATCCCAAACCTGCTCAAAAAAAAATCCTAAAACTATTTCACACCCTATATATATATATATACATATTATCACATATTTATGTGTATATATACATATCCCAGCCCACTCTGGAAACTCCACGTGACCAGAGTGATCTGAAGAGGTGCCATGCCCAGCGCGGAGATCTTGCAGCAGATGAGGAGCCTGGAAGGTGCAGCTGCCCCTGGAGGATTTTTTTTTTTGATGTTTTGGTATCTTTGGCCCCGAAAATTCCTTAGTGGTGTCAAGGGGAAAACAACTTTTTGGAGGCTTCGAGGGTGGGAAACTGCAGGTCGTTTGCAGTTGAGGATGCGAGGCACGGTTTTTGGGGCAAAAAAAGGGAGGGGTCGGCCTTATCAAAAAATAGCGCAAGGGTGGATGGACAGATGATTGATAAAAGATGTACAGAGAGAGAGACATGTAGAGGCTTGTACGGGCACGTGGTTTCGCACTCATGGAGCTGTGGTTTGAGACAAGGGGATCAAGTCACCCCGAAGCAGAAGCCATGATTTAGTAAACCGCAATTTGATTGGTCATGGGGGTCATTTTCAGCCAAAAACCGAGGAAAACAATTTTTTGTGTGGGGTGTCTTGGGTTGGCCCGGTGGCCCTGCTTGATGTTTGAGGCTCCAAGGTTAGGAAAGTGGCCATGGAAGAGACCCAGGACTGCCAGGGATCAATGTAGAAGGCGGAAGGCATCGCAGACTCCAGCCTGATTTCCATGATGCAAAACCATGTGCGACCCAACGCAATTTCCCCAAACATATAGAAAGCTTCCGTAATCAAAGCAAACCAACACAAAGAAACGACACCACACATCCAACCAAACAGAAACGACATCAAACGACGGGGTCCAATCTGCTGCTCCCTTCGCCATGGCCGCGAAACTTGTGGCACCCGCCTTTTCGGCGGCGGCCATGGTGGCGCCAGATGAGACGGTGCCCGGGGGGTTGGGGCCGGGGAAACTGGTGGAAACTGGTGGAAACTGGTGGAAACCCTAGGGTTTTCCCGAAAACTGGGAGATTTCTTACATGGGACGACCCTTTCAAGTGGATCCTCATTTCCTTCCAGATTTTCGGCATGTTTCACTAGTGATATTGATTCCCTTTTCACCGCCGGTCCAATTTCTTTTTGCCCGGTGAAGACACTTTTTTCTTCTCCTGTTGGTCAAATTGCTGTGATGCAGCTCACAGAGTCGTTAATGATGATTCGTCACTGGTACAAACCTGCAAAACAAGTGACATCAACATCACAAGTACAGTAAATTAGCCTGAAAAAAACTGGTTAAAGTTGGTTAACCATGAAAAACAATTTAAACCTCTGGGTTCCACCAGCTCTAACAACCCCAACATAGAGAACAACAAGTTGGAAACCTGGAAACATGAGGTGAATATTGAATATCATCGAACTACCATCCTGGTGGCACACTTTTCGGCCTTTTTTTTAAAGGGGGTTCTACTTGAAGGTGCAGTTCCAGTCATAACTGGTTAAGTTATAGACCCATAGTTATAGGGGCCCCGTATCCCAACTTATGCGTGTTTCAATCTCATGGTTATAGTTATAGCCATTATAGCCACATATTCCACCCCAAGTGCATCTCCAAGTAAAATAGACATAATAAACACTATAGCCTATAGCATCCCTTTACATCCCCATGATTTTTCCATATTTTTCCCCTTATAAACCCCCATGAAATCAAGCATTTTTTCATGGTGAAGTCCTCCCATCTGAGGCCTACGACCTCTTTCAGCTGCTGCGAAGCAGTCGTAGCTCCAGGCTGCCCTGCTTGGATCAGCACCTGCCTGGCCTCCTGAGCCCCGGCCATGCCGTGGTGCTGCATGGGGAGGCACGGCAGGGTTTATGAGAAGTTATAGTCCCCATCCCAAGAATGGTTGATAATCGCAATTTATAGTTATAAGTACTATAAGTTATAAGTTGGAATCCCAATTCTTCCAAAAAGATAGTTGTGAACTGATGATGAATTGTGAATTGTTTGATTACACGAATTTGTGAATGGCTTTTTTTGTATAGATTCTATACTTCCATTCATTGATTGTGTATCATAGGTTATCACAAACAGTGTTACATTTGGACCTTGCGAGGCCAACAGCGGCAAGTCGGTGCTACTGCGCAACGTCTTAGCCGCTCAGTTGCTGCCTGTGCGCTGCGGGGGCCATGGGCTGCCGGCAGTGCTGATCGATGCGGAGAACCAGTGCGATGTGTGGCTGTTGGCCAAGGTGTTACAGGCGTGGGGATTGGGGCACTTGGGGGGTGGATTCCATTCATCAGGTGGTGAATGAATTAATGACCCTGGGATATTACATGATATTACCGGGCTATATTATGCTATATGATCCCATATTGCAACTGGTTGCAACTGGATGGGTTTTTCGGATGGGCTGAGAAAATCTGCCAGACCGCCAGGAACGCGCCCGCGCCGGCGACCAGCTGGCCACCACCGAGGCCGTGACCGAGGCGCTGGGGCGGCTGCTGATCTTCCGCCCGAGCGAACCACTGGAGCTGCTGCGGCAGCTGCAGCGGCTGCGGCAGATCCTGCGGCAGAACCCCACTGCGGGGCTGCTGGTGACGCGGCGTCCAAGCCACCCAGGGTGCTGACTCGGTTCAATTTGTTTGGGTAAATCCTAATGGAAAATGACAAAGTCTTAAGTCCTAAAGAAAAAGACGCAAGTAATTTGGCATCCAATATTAGAATTGCACATCCCATGTAGGATTTTTCATCCCCGAGTTTTATTCCCGAGGTCATTGACTCGCTCTCGGCCTGGCACTCCATGAGCGCGGCATTTCCGCGCTCCACGGGCGCCACGCTGAAGGAATGCTGGCGCGCCGTGTGGCGCCTGATGCGCGAAGCCTGCGTGGCGGCGGTACCTTGGCGGAGGGGAAGGGGGTTGGCCTTGGGGGTGGCTTAGGATGGGTTATATGGGTGGTAAGTGGTGGTAAGGTGGCAAAAAAACACTATAAGAAAGACAATTGAAACATGTTTAAAGTTTTAAACATACCAACCTGAGCGCACTATAGGAAAGCCGAACTGAATATGCTTTGGAACAGGTCTCATCTGCTAAAATGATGTGTGGTTCATACGGTATCATTGATTTTATTTCCTCTCCGGTTGGCAAAGGTGATCTCCCACCGCGACGGACAGCTGGAGTTCTCACTGGAATTGGAAGCCATCCATCTGGGTGTTGGGTGCTGCCCCAAGGTGCCCAGGGGGGTCCCATGGGAGGGAGCCCAACAGCCACGGGCATAGAGATGGGTGGAGATTTTGATGCGCCCACTGACAGGTGGTTGAAGAGGCTGAGGGAGATGCTCCTCGAGGCGGGTCATGGCCATGTTGGACAGATAGATACTCTGAAGCCGCAAACATAGCCATTTCACCCAGCGCATGACTCTATTGGAAAAATGGCAGTTGGACTGAACCACCAAACCGTTTGATTCATACCCCGTAACACGGGGTTTTTGACCTACCAACGCGAAGCGTTCTTACCGTAATGAGAGAGGACATTTAGATGCTTTGAAAGCCTCAAGACGTGCGCTATGGGTTTTATGATAGGGTTTACCACGTGGAAGCTTCACTTTCGAGCGGCGCCAACAGGCAGCCAGCGGGAGTGTTTCTATCTGGCGCCCTGGGGGAAGGAGTTAGATACCACGGATCCACAAAGCGCGCAGACCTTCTTTGTGACTCGGAGCGGAGACGTTTTTAAGGCGTCCCTTCGTGGATAGCGATAGGGAACTCGTGGCGGTTTTATCCCAAGTGTTGCTGTTGATATCCCTTTTGGCTGGTTGGTGATTTGAAAAACATGTTCCATCTTTGACATCACTATGGATTTTTGATTAAAACACTAATGCTAGTACTTAAAGGGCAATAATGAGCCACCCATATTTTGATGGTATATTGTATATACCACCCATCTATGGCAATTTTTTGGGATGGCACTATTGCTTTACTCACATCGACTAAGAGATAAAGTGACCCCAATCTTCCACCGTTCACGGTGATTCCTCAAGGTGATCTCTCCTGCTGGTGAAGTGGTATCCATCCCTACACTGGGACTGGGAGATCAACTGGTTGCCGTAGAGGGCCCATGAGGGCCCCAAAACCGGGCCCCACCATGGACGGTGTTTCAGAGCCGCTTGAGTCAGATCGCTGGGCATCAGAAGTAGGGTTACTTGGGCTCCCTGTTTAACAGCAAGTCTTCATTTCCAATGGTTGCCCTCCTGTTTGGTAATAGTTTAATAGCTAATATCATATCTCAGATTTGGATACTTTTGTCTAGTTCAATCCCTACTTTCTTGAACATTGGTGATTCAATATATTTCAAGGCCCAATTCCTTGAAGACTTACCATTTCAAGACACCCATATATGATCTTCCACCAAGAAAGGAGACTTACCTTCCCTTTGGAAAGGCCGTGAGACGTGATGAATGTCAACCAAGTGCAACACCCATATATTTCCCAACTCTGCTTGGGTGCCACCGGCGAAACAAATCGACCCAAAAGGGGTCCCTTTCCGCGCCACCGCTCTGAGATAGGTCAGATCGCCGGACTGTGGAAAAATCGAATAGATTTTAGATGTCATTGATGTCATGATTTTATGTCTTTAGGATGGATATCTACGATGAAATTGGACTTGGTATGCCAATACCAATGCGTCCCACCGAGAGTGCCCTTGAGTTCCAGTGGCGAATTCCTACGCATGAGACTCCATCCTTCCCGAATATCATTAGAGTCTGAAGATATGCCTTAACATCCCATGGTCATCCATTTCTCCAGTAAAAAACTTGTTAAAACTGGCAATTTTACCAGCGAAACCACCAGGCCCATGCAGGGCTTGGCGGCCACCTTGTGCTGTGGGCCCCTGTGCCCGTGGAATGCTGGAGGAGGGAACAGCAGGTGATTTCTAGGTGATTTTCCCATCAGATCAGAAAAACCCTGGTGAATCTGGTGAGTTCTGAAGATATGCCTCTTGTAGATTTGAATCGAATCCATGCGGATGGATTTAAAACAAGGGAGCTTGGTCAAATTCAACAGCGGTTCAAAATGGTGATTTTCCCACCCAAGGTGGTGATTTACTGAGTCGGAACTCTGACACTCTGTAATTTACATCCCAAACCAGTCATGGTGGTCATGTGGGATGTTAATTTAACAACTCTGGTTTTTCTGGGATTGACTCATACCCAATGCGGGGATTGCACTTTGGAGATCATTGGAGTGTTTGATCACCTGGGGCAAACAGATCCCGAACTTTTGGGATGCAGGTCAAGTTTGGTTAACTTTGGCTAAATGAATGACTGCCGAAAATCCACTGGGTTGAGTGAATTAACAACCGGACCGACTATGACCTCTTGGACTTTGGAGCAGAATTGGTGAGAGGATGTAAAAGGGGAAGAGTTGAATGCGACACTTCCTATCATTCAAAGTGAAAAATGTAGAGATCGTTTTCTATGGGTTTGTCACGCGGTTTCTTTGCAATTGGCAATGTTTCCTCTACAACACACAACACGAGAATTTTCAGGTATATTGTTTTAACGATAAGACCGATTACTTTAAGATCATCTTAAAACCAATTACATACTATTGATATACAGTCCAAGAATATTTTAGGATATATATATATATATATATGTGGCAGGGACCTTTGGGGTCTATTTCGTTCCTATGCATACAAGCATGTAATGCTATTGAATGCTATTGTTTTTCTTCTCCTTTGGTCGTTTAACTTGTTCATTTCTTTTGTGTCCACTAAAGTAGACTAAACTAGACTAAAACCAGACTACTGGACTAAACTAAACTAAACTGGATTAAACTAGACTCTACTAGACTCAACTAGACCAAACCAAGCTAAATTACACTAAAGTAGACTACAGTAGACTAAAGTAGCCTAAAGTAGATTGAAGTAGGCTAAAGCGGGCTAAACTACACTAAAATAGGCTAAAGTAGACTACCGTAGGCTAAACTAGACTAAAGTAGACCAACGTAGACAAAGATTGGCTAAACTAGACTGAAACTGAGGAAACTGGATTAAGCTGGACTGAGCTTGTTTTTGGTTAAACTAGACTAGCTATATAATTAATGTTATATCTAAATGTTGATGCTTATGAAAATCAAACACTACGTGACACTAAATTAGGGTAAACTAGATTAAGCTAAGCTAAACTAGGCTAAATTAGGCTCAACTAGACAAAACTTGACTAAATGAAATTAGACTACACATCATGACGAAACTAGATTAAAACATAGTAGATTGCACAAAATTTGGCCAAAGTGGAGTAAAGAGAACTAAAGTACATTAAACTCAGTCAAACTAGATTCAATTAGATTATATAAACTGGACCAAATTGGATTAAACTGTGCTAAAATGGGTTAAATTATAGTAACAAACTAGACTCAACTACACGAAAGTAGACTCAAAAAAGACTAAAGTGGACTAAACTTAACTAAACTAGTTGAGTCTAATTTGGCCTACTTTACTCTCATATAGTTTAGTTCAATTTAATCTAGGATGGTCTGGTTTAGTCTACTTTATTTAGCCTTTTTTAATATACCTTGTCTAATTCAGTCTAGTTTAGTGTTGCTTAGTCTTATTTAGTTCAAGTTGGCGTGGGTAAATTCTGTTTAGTCTGGTCTAGCCAAGCCTAGCCTAGTTTAGTCCAGCTTTGCCCAGTTCAGTCTGGTCTAGTCTAATTTCGTTTAGTCTAGTTTAGCCGAAGTTAGGTTAGTCCAGTTGAGCATAGTTTAGTCTACTTTAGGCTACTTTAGTCTAGTTTAGCACGCTCTAGTCTACTTCAGTCTACTTTAGGCTACTTTCGTCTTTAGCCTACTTGAGTCTAGTTTAGTCTGTTTAGTCTACGTTAGTCTGCTTTAGTGTAGTTTAGCCTAGTTGATTCTAGTTTGGGTTAGTTTTGTTTTATTTAATTCAGCTTAGTTGAACTTAGTCCAGGTGTAGATTTAGATGCAGGTGGTTTTGCTTACTCTAGTTTAATCTGGTTTAGTCTAGTTTAGTCCATTTTAATCTAATCTAATCTAGTTTGGTCTAGTTTAGTCTAGTTTGGTCCAATTTAATCTACTTTAGTCTACTTTAGCGCATTGTTTACTCTAGTCTATCTAGTTTACATAATAGAATTTAATCTGGTCTAGCTTAGTCGATTTTAGTCTGGTTTAGTCTTGTTTAGTCTAATTTAATTTAGTTTAGTGTAGTTTTAGCCCAGTTGAATTTGTTTTGCCTAATTGAATCTAGTTTAACCTAGTTTAATCTAATTTACTCTAATATAATCCAATTATTATCTAACTTAATCTTTGTTATCCTAAATGTATAATCTAAGTTCGTCCAAAATCAATCCAACTTAGTTCAGCTGAACCGAACTTAGTCAAGTTTAGCTTGATTTCATCTAATCTAAATCTAATAGAATGTAGTTTAGTTTAATTTAATCTACCTTAGTCCAGCTTAATCGAATTCAGTGTAGTTTAGTCTCGTTTAGCCCAGCTTAGCCTAGTTTTGTCTAGTTTAATGTAATTTTATTCAAATTTAGTCTAATTTAATCTTGTTTTGTCTAGTTTAGTTAAACTTAATCTACTTTAGACTAGTTTAGTCCAATTTTTCCATTTTAGTTTACTGTACGTAGTTTTCTTCGATCTAGTTTAGCTTAACTTAGTCTATTTTAGTCTACTTGAATCTACTTTAGTCTACTTCAGAATATTTCAGTTTAGTTCAATCGTGTTTAGTTTAGCTTGATCTAGTTTCATTTATTTCACTCTAATTTAGTTTAATCTAGCTTAGTGTAGTTAAGTCTAGCTTAGTCTAATTTAGTCTAGTTTAAGGTAATTTCACCTAGTTTAGCCTAGTTTAATAATCTAATTTAGCCTAGTTCAATCTAGTTTTATCGAAAATTGTTGTGTTTAGTCTACTTTGGTGTAGCTTAGTGTAGTTTTGTCTAGTTTTAGTCTAGCTTAATCCAATTTAGTCTAGCTTTATCCAGTTTAGTCTAATTTAGCCTACTTTCTTCTACTTCAGTCTCCTTCAGTCTTTCTTAATCTATTTTAGTATACTTTACTGTAGTTTAGTCTAGTTTAGTCTTGTCTTGCAATCTAGTTTAGTATTGTTTAGTTTAGTTTAGTTTATTTCAGTCTAGTCTAGCTTAGTTTAATCCAATCTACTTGGAACTATACTAGGCTAGTTTAATCTATTTTCATGTGCTTTCATCTTGTTTAGTCTACTTTAGTCTTGTGTGATTTACTTTAGCCTGCTTTTAGTCTACGGTGGAATCATTTACAGTAGTCTGGTTTAGCGAATCTAGTCTAGTTTAATCTAATTTAGTCTAGTTTAATAGTCTAGTTTAATAGTCTGGTTTAGTCTAGTTTAATTTAATTTAATCTAATTTAGTCTAGTTTTGCCTACTTTTGGCCTACTTCAGTCTACTTTAGTGCATTTTAATCAAATTTAGTCTATGAGTCCACTCTAGTCTAATTTAGTTTAGTTTATGTTCGTCATGTTTAAATTCAATTAAACTAAATTCAACTATTCTAAAGTAGGCTAAACTATATAGATGAAACTACGCGAAATAGTACAGTGAAATAGACTAAACTAAGCTAAACTAGACTACACTAGATTAATCCAAATTAAACTAAACTAAACTAGACCGAATCAGATGAAAATAGACTAACCTACTGCAGACTAAACTACTTTAAAGTAACTCACATTAAAATAATTTGACCAAACTACACTCCACTAGACCAGACTGGGACTACCATTTTCTCAGTATGTTTGTTTCTGTTTTGAGTTCTTGGCTTTCCCTTTTCTTTCTATGCTCTCGGCCATCTTCCCGCTATTCAGTAGAGTCTAGTTTCCGCTTCTACTTCCTCTTCCCTGTTAAAACAATGTTTTGTTCTTTACAATTTCTGTCTGCTTTTGTTTTCTCGTCTAACCTTTCCCTGTTTTCTTCTTCTCACTCTTCTTTCTCTTCCCAATTCCAAACTCTTCCTTTTCCTTTTTCGTTTCTCCTCTCCCTGTTCCTGGTAAAATTTCTCTTCCAATCTGCTTCGGCGTTTTGCATGTGTTTCTTCCTTGTCTGCTTCCTTTGTACTCTCTCCTCTTCACTGGTCTTGTTTCTTCTTTTGCCCCACTATGCCCGGTCTTTCCGGTTCTGCTTCCTCATCCTGGCTGCATTTCCTTTCCAAGAGAAGGAAGAGG